ATCATTAACTAATTTCTACAGTATTTATTAATTATATGTATATTAATTTGTGCATAGACTAATACATTTTTAACATTTCAAGCGATTACATTTCAAGTATAAATGAACATTAGTTAAAGCATTACAAATGAACATTAAATAAAAATGAACAATAATAGATTTGTAAAATTACTAAATGCTGTACAAATTGTTCATGATTAATTTATGATATCTGATGCATTAACTAGTGTTAACTAATTAAAAGCAAACAGTAAAGTGTTCCCGAAATAAATGTGTGTTGTAATAATAATAAAAAAATCCACTAAAATAATAATGTCCACAAATAACTTTTTTGTCTTTTTCTTTAGAAACCAAAACATGAAGAACCTATAATGAAAATCAAGGTTTCTAGGTTTACTTAATGAGCCTTGTTTGTAGGCGCTTTTTGTTGCTATAGGAAAAAGCAAACATTTGTACATTTAAGGCTAAACCATCTAGATAACTCGTTTTCTAAGAGGAGGTCATTTGCAGGAACTTTAGATTGCAGATAGAATAGTTATATATAATAGAATTCAGTTATTTAAAAATACTTTATTTATTCTGTTTTCTACGAATCCCGATGTAACTCATCTACATAAAACAATGATTTGAAAAATATAGTACACACAACCGTCAAAGACACCAATAAATAACACGGATAGTAAAGGGGTCATATGATGTTGCTAAAAAGAACATTATTTTGTGTATTTGGTGTAATGAAATGTGTTTATGTGGTTTAAGGTTAAAAAAACACATTATTTTCGACATACTGTACATTATTGTTTCTCCTCTATGCCCCGCCTTTCTGAAACACGTCGATTTTTACAAAGCTCATCGGTCTGAAAAGTGAGGTGTGCTGTGATTGGCCAGCTATCCAGTGTGTTGTGATTGGCCGAATACCTCAAGCGTGTGACGGAAATGTTACGCCCCTTACCATACTGTGATGATGCCCTGTCGGCCGGAGCGATGATTCAAAAACATGAAAACCCATTATAAACGAGGCATTTGTTGCATCCAGTGGGGACATAATTGTGGATTATAATGACTTGTACCGTCTTTTTACGCGTTGCGTTGCATCGCGCCGCGTAGACATAAACCCATGTCTGTATTTGTGATCGGAGAAATGACAAACAACAAGCCCTACTCTACACTGCCCAAAAAACTTGCTTTAAATATAAAAAAAACTTTGAGTCAGAACAGCCGGCATTGTAGTCTACTCTCCCAGGATCAGGAAACAGTCCTCCATAAAATGTGCTGCACACATCTGAATATTTTGGGTTGAAGTGTTCAGGAACAGTGTTGTAAATACAACTTAACCACTGATTTCTAGTTGTGTCCTCTTTTGGAAGGCCAAACAAAGTAGTTTCGCTTTCACAATGACACAGCGTCACACACGGCAGCACTCTTAACTTTTATAAAGAATATTTCTTTGGATTTGAAACTTTAGTCTTTGCAACTTTACAGATCTTCTTTATGCACCAAGAGCTTGTAACACTCCAAAGAGAAAGGAACAATTGAAATCGCATCATATGACCCCTTTAAAGTAGAAGTACAAAACAATCTTGAGGAATGTCATCTTGTTATATTATCTCTAATTTCTGGGCGTATAAATGGAAAGCGCTCTGAAAGCGCGTTCTCTTTGTGTTTGTTCCTGAAATTACCATAATCATACTAATTTCAATCACGGCTGGCTTGACCGTGTATTTCTGAGCCGAGGCTGGCTTGACCGCAGTTTGGTTTCCTACAGGAGCCCAACAGAAAGTTAACACGGCAGGTCTCTGTTGAGCGTTGGTCTAATTGCATATTGCAGACAAATTACCAATCACAACCTCATAATTATGCAAAGTAGCTGCACGCCGGCCCACCCGAAGCATCTTAATTGATAAAAGATAGCTATCGCACTTCAGTGCTCTAGACCTGGGGTTATTCTGTTCGATCTGGAGGGAGTTATTGATGACCAACAGGAGTTCAGTCTAACTCATGTTTGTGTTTAATGAACAAACTATTTTCCGGGTCAAATAAAATGCATTACCTCTGGGAACGTTTAAACTCACATCAGTGGTAATCCCAAATAATCCAAAGCGAAAGACCCTTAATATATTTTTTTAAATGGGTATCTGATTATCATACTGGAAGCATAATAAGTGTTAATTATTTAGGGATTTTAGTGGCACTGAGGAGTCCGTGTTAATTAAGACCAACTATTTGTCTTGAAACAAATGAATTTATTAAGTTGAGATCTTTATTTTGTGACAGTTTCTATTATGACTGAATGATATAGCTGAAGAAATATACATATCTTAATGTTTCTTAATGAGTACAAATAGTCATTTTCACTAAAGGAACACATTTTTAATGTTACTCTCACCAAGGCTGCATTTATTTGATGGAAATACAGTAAAAACAGCAATAGTGTGAAATATTATTGCAATTTAAATGAACTGTTTTCTATATGAATATATTGTAAAATATAATTTATTACTGTGATCAAAGCTGAATTTGATTGATTTGAATGATTTGAAACATACCTGATTATTATTAATGTTGAAAGCAGTTGTGCTGCTTCATATTTTTGTGGGGAAACGTCATGCATTTTTATTTTTCAGGATTCTTTGGTGAACAGAAAGTTCAAAAGAACACCATTTATTTGAAATATATATATTTTTTAACATTATAAATGTCTTTACATGTCTTTGCATCTTTTGCTGAATAAAAGTATGAATTCAAAAAAATAAATATATTTTACTGGCCTCAAATTTTTAAATGGTCATGTACAATTTTATGAAAACAATTTAAAAGACACTCACAGAGATGTTTTGCGGTGACAAAAAAAAATCAATCTTAAATCAATTCACAGAACTAAAGAAATAAAAAATATTTGCCCAATTTTGATGCTCAAAAACAAACAAACATAAAATGACTCTTGTTCTCAAAAACATCAAAACGTTGTAAATCCAAGATGAGTAGATAATAACTTTGATTCACTTTCTCAGAAGAGACTGTACATTTGAAATGCTACTTTGTCAACTTTAAGCAGTCCAGATGTTGCTTAATTACATATTGTCAACAACATCATTGCAGAAATCACATATATCAACTTATTTTCCAAACACAGTGATGTCCAGTCAAGAGCCCCATCCACATCGATTCAGGAACTCATTGACTGACGGAGGCTTTGACACGCAGTTTTAATTAGAGACAAAAGTGTGACTGAACTGTTTCAAAGAGCCGTCAGAACTCCGCTTGAGTCTGTCTGGACTTTGACAAGACAACCATCAACACGTTTGTGATCAACTAATCAGTGTTAAAGTCCCCATCTGCTCTCGGCAGGGCTCTGCACCCATAGGACAGAAAAATCCGAAACAACATTTCTGTAATATCAACTGTTTCTCCTGGACAGCAAGAAGATTACATCAGATTTAATGAGAGACTTTTGCTTCTCAGATGTTTCTCCTAGAAAAAGAGCCCAGCACACCAAGAATCCAAAGTCTTCAATTAAAGGACACAGAACTCACATATTTCTCATCAAAGACAAAATATGCTGCTCTGTACTTTTGCTGTATGTTTCAATATGTCAAAAATGTGTGTATACATTTATTTCTCCTAAGGATTTTAGAAGAAAATCCGGGACAAAGCTGATCCTTAAAGTCTGTTTTCTAAATGCATTTTACTGAACTTGTTGTGAACAATTAATCCGTGCATGTTTCATTTTTTTTTAAATGCTTTGACCTCGTAATGTTGAATCAAAATGTCATAACTGGAGCTTCTCTGATCAGTTCATCTTAAACCCTGCCCCTGCCGGCTCACATTCATCTGCCTGCGCCACGCCCACATCTCAACACCCAATCAACAACTGATGCATTAGAACAAAATCCCCACCCAACACTTTTTTCTTTCTTATGCAAAAATGCACTCAGGTGTACATCATAATACAGAAAAAAGATCTGTCACTCCATTAAAGGTATAAAAGAGCAATATCTGAGTGGTTTTGGCCCGGTAGGCCCATGGTTCAACTGTGCCAACTGGGACTGGCACATCTCCGCACCCTTCACGTCCTCTATTTCTGTTGAGCACGTCTAAACATCCACAGTTCATTTGTGTCTACCAGGAGAATAACCCTCCATGCTCATTTTTCATTCAGATATTGTACAGAGCATGCAGAGATTGCGCTGGAGTCGATGCAGTTTTTAATACCTGTATGTGGTTACGTAGCAAACCACATTCGTTAAAACATTGTGTACTCGTAGTGTAAATAATTTTAAAAATATTAAGATCATATGGTTAGCCAAATGAGAAAAAAAGTCATGCTTTGGTAAATCATAATTATGAAAGTCAAATTTCAAAAAGCCAATATTATGAGATAAAGTTTTATATAATTATGACTTTTATTTAATAATTTTGACTTTTCATCTTATAATGTTCACTTTTAATGTCATAAGAGTTTTATCTCATAATTATAACTTATGTCATAACTGTTTTTGTCATAATTACGCAGATTTTTGAGATTTTCAGATCTCAATTTTAACTATTTGTCATATCGACACTTACGCCATAATTTAATTTTTATCTCAATTTACTTTTTATCTCAATTTCAACTTTTTATGTCATAATTATCTCATAATGTTTGCTTTTGATGTCATAAGAGTTTTTATCTCATGATTATGACTTTTTACGTCATAAATTACTTTTACATCATAATTTTGACTTTTTATCTCAATTTACTTTTTATCTCATAATTTCTGACTGTTTTATGTCAATTATGACCTCATCATTTCTGACATGTGTCATAACTATGACCTTTTATCTCATCATTTCGACTTTAATTACTTTATGTCATAATTATAATTTGCCAAAGCATGGTTTTCTTGTATGGTGGAAATGTGGTTCCATAGCTAAAAGATATGATATACTGTATATGGCTCTTTGTGTATATGCATTTGATGGGGTATATATATAGACTGTGGTGGTGACTGTTGACGTACCTCTTCCCACTGGTGAATGTAGCGGATAAGCCGGGAGAGACGCAGCAGCCTCAGCAAACTCAGGATTTTAGTGAAACGCACAATCCTCAGGGCTCGCGCCGTCTTATACACCTCCGAGTCTATGCCCTTCTCCACGATCAGGAAGATATAATCCACCGGAATGGACGAGACAAAGTCCACAATAAACCAGGTCTTCAGGTACTTCTTCTTGATGGTCTTGGGGTCCAGGATGATGTCGGAATTGTCCTCGATAATGATGCCCGTGCGGAAGTTGAGCACCAGGTCCATGAGGAAGAAGGTGTCGGAGATCACATTGAAGATGATCCACGGCGTGGTCGTCTCATCTTTGAAGAAGGTGATGCCGACAGGAATAATGATCAGGTTGCCCACCATGAAGAGAAGCATGGTGAAATCCCAGTAGAACCTGCAAGAGAGAAAGAAAAGAAATTGGCTTTATCTAACGCCATCTTTACTCTGTAGTAAGTGGTAAGTTTATGTGATTTTACTTCTGTACATTTGTAAACCCTGGGATGATGTTCTAGTTTGTATATTTACGAGGTTAATAACATTAATAGTTTACAAGGACTCTGTTTACATGCACAAAAGTATTACAATATAAATCAGAATTCAGTGCTATTAACATTTTGCATGCATCATGTAAATGCATAAACCATTTGCTATGCAAGAGGAAGACGTTATTCCAGAAATCTCAAAATTTAGAAAATTCAGCATAATAAATAGCAAAAGCACACATCTCCCATATTTCCAGATGAAAATAGCAGGAAAAGAACACAAATGTCTTGGTCCAATGTGAACATTTCTGATGTAAATATTACATATTTATAAGGATTATTATGGTAAAACTCTACATTATAATGCATTGCACTATGCATGTCACCGAGATAAGGTACATTAAACAGGTTTGTTTTGAAAACAACACTAAAAAAAATCTATAACATTAGCATTGCAAAGATGCATGCAACAATGCATTACAACGTGCTGCAGAGAATGCTTTATAGTGACCTTGTAAAAAGTGCAAGAGTGTCGAAAACCACAGAAGACCCCTGATATCTGAGAGTCTCACACGGCTGTGACTGGTGTAAGTCTATTCCTGAGGGTCTGAAATAAAGGTCTGCGTGGAGCGGATGTGATCCGTTTCCACGTGGTGCTCGCACACGTGTGCAACTCAAGGTCACAGCAGAGCGCGCTAAGGTGCATGCTGACTCATAACTGGAGACTGATGCAACTCGTACACAATGGCAGCTTCTTTCCGCAAGGTTTGCACAGCTGATCGGCTCTGTGTTGAGGGTATTTGATATGTCAAGATGACTTTGAATGGAGTGGGAGTATTGAAATAAATATGCATCAGTTTCAGGTTTTCTATGGAGACGATGCAAAATGATACAGACATGTGCATGTTATTGCATAGCTTGACTAATTGCAGAAATTGCATGCATATTTTCATCATCAACAATATTTGTCTATTATCTGATGAAGTCTCAATGAAGTGAAATGAAACAAAAAGTGCCAGATTAAACCACATAAGCACAAGTACTGCAGCATTCAGTGATCTGCATCCAACATAATCATTGAAAGTTACAATGAATAATACTCACGTTGCATAAATGTCAAATGCAACCTGATGCATGAACCTCAAGCAATGCAAACCATGTAAAGAGTCATCCAGTAGTTTTCATAGCATGCTAAACATTTTGAGTCCAGACTGACTGTGGTGCTGAAATGATGTTCCTCACTGATACAGACATAATGCATGACAGCATGACCATCTGTAGACTAACACTTGACTGAAAGTTTGGCACGTCTTAATTGTATTTATTGAGGTTAATGCTTCAACATTTTAAAGCCTTGAGATATATGCTTTATATGATCGTGAGGTGACCTGAATGAATGCGATTATCTTGAAATATAATTCAGCATGATATCTACTAGACAAAATTGCTTATGGCCTCACATCGTTATCTAGTCAGGTAGAAATAAATCTAACTCAGCATGAACAAAAATGCTTATGTGCCACAATGTGTATGGGCAAAAATCACAATGCTATGTTTTTTTTGTTTTTCTTTTTATAACCATAACAATAGCATGGTCAGATTACATCCCTCAGTTATAAGAGGATAATACGATAAAAAAAAATGCATCTTTTTTTTTTGGAAGTGTGTGTATAAGTTTTAATGGCTTTTGAGGGCCAAATTGTGGAAAGTGCTTTGTGAGGACATTTATTTAAAGGGGTCATATGATGCTATTTTAAAGATCATTATTTTGTGTATTTGGTGTAACAGAATATGTTGACATGCTTTAATGTTCAAAACACACATTCTTTTTCAAATACTGTACATTATTGTAGGTCCTTTTATTATTAATACAAATGCTAAAAATGTCATCATTAGCATCAATTTGAGAACATCTGTTGCTTTATTGACGGCAGTAATGGAGCTGACATAAATAAAACCTGATGCTCAATGTCACTAATAGTGCAGATCTTAAAACTCTCTCATGCACCTTAAATATTGTTTAAATGTTCCAAAATTTAAAAAGAAAAAACACACATACACACACATACTTTTGGATGCCTGATTCATTAATGGGTCAAATTTGGTCCTTAGATGCCATATTCTCGTGCAAAGTTTCTCCAAGCAGAAGCTCTTACCTGAAGTCGCTGTAGGGGTGAATGATCCAGTTGCCCGCCGATTTCACGCGCTCCTGCTCCTTCTCCACCGCCTTCTGGCTCCCGTACATGCGCAGGGAGAATTTATTGACCCCGGGCTGCAACATGCTGCTGAACTGCCGCTGCATGAAGCTCGCCTGGCTGCCCCGCGTCTCGCCGTCCTCCTGAGCTCCATCCTCGGATTTGAGGAAGGTCACCGAGTTCCGGGGCTGCTGCCCGCCGTGGATGGAGGACGAGGCTTTCCTACTGGAGGCGTTGGAAAAGGACACTCTGGAATCCTTCTTCTCCGGGACCCCGGGGTTCGAGGCGTCTTGCCCCTGCGTGCTGGCCGCGTCCACGCTGGTCATTGAATTGCACGCTGCCCGCTTGCTCCCGTCCGGCTTGGACATGATGGACCGGAGGCTCCCGGTGCCGGAGTCCCGCCTGCACTCCCCGTTCTTGTTGCATTTCATGCTGGAAAGCGGTGCTGAAGGATTGCCGTCACCCTCGGCAGCATTACAAGCCTCTACCGTCACGGTGGCCACTACGGTAGACGCTTTGCCTTCTCCTCCTCCGCCCTTAACGGTGTCGTGGCGACCCGCAGCAGCAGCATCAGCAGCATCAGCATCACCCGGGCGCGCGTCAGTGGAAGTGGAGCTCCTGCACGCGCCTCCTCCTCCTCCTCCTCCCGGTGCGCAGCTCTTAATCTGGATGCTGCTCCCTCCTCCTGCTCTTCTCAGCCGCGGATGCTGAAACTTGGATTCCTTCTCCGCGTCGTCCGTCTCCTCCATGGCGACGTGATTGGGTTTCAGGTTCGACCCGGCGGCATCAGAGTTGGACTCCAGGCAACTCTTGGCGGTGCTGTTCCCGGTGCAGTGGTACGCGGCGCTCTTATGGGCCGCTTTCTTCGTCGTGGCAACATCCGAACCGGGCGAGAGCTCATTCCGGTCCATGTCATTCACCGGATCAGATCTGGCCTGTAATTATCTTTGCGGGAAACCAATCAGCACGGGTGATGGGTGAGAGAGAGAGAGAGAAAGAGAAAGAGAGAGAGAGAGAGA